GTCAGCCTTCCTGCTCCTCTGATGCTGCTTGGCCTGCTGTGTTCATCTAGCTCTACACCTTGTTATCTCAGATTCTCCAGCATCTGCAGTTCCTACTATCTCTTGACTATACTTCAAATATGTTTCATTGACTGTAAAACATTCTGGGAAATCCTGAGAATGAGAAGGATACTATATCAGTGCAAACTATTTTCAATTTATTATTCAACAATCTTTACACTTACACATGTTTCAAGGTAGTGTGTTTGAATATGGTGGAAAGTGTCTCCATTTGTGCTATCTTTGATGAAATCCAGAGAAAGATTCAGATATTCTGTCCCATGGACTTGAGGTAATGGTGGTTGAGCAAAAGCTGGTGGAATAATTTAAGAAACAGTCGGATTTTCTGGTAGATGAACCGGACTGGAAGTCTTTCTACCTGGTTGAAATATGATTATGGCCTTTTCCATCTTACTCATGTACAGAATTATTCAATGGCCACTAATCTGAACTAACAAATACTTTGATCATCTGTTCCACCACTTGATGAGTTAATATTGCTGAAGAAAGACAAATGCCAATTTGTATTAGAATTCTTTAATTTAATAAATTCTTTGATCACCCAATAAAATAAAACAGAACCCAGAATCATTCTTTACATTTACAATCTGGGTGAAGAGGAAGACTTCTACAGAGGTCAAAGTTCACCTTATCCCTTTAAGAGAAATACCGTTTTTAATCACAAGCTTCTATGCTGAGACATATCGCAAAAATTGAGAGAGGAGGAAAGCCAAAATAACGGGACTGCAAGGTTAAGCTGATTAGCTACGTCCAAAACAAGAAGATTGGCTAGCACAATCAAAGATAGTTAAAGCAATTAATTCAGTCTTACAGGTGCAAGGCTGCAGCAGAGAAGCTGATGATGCTGTCACCATGGTTACCTAGTGTGAGACAAGCCACAAACATCCCAGTGGTATCACACCCCTATAGTAGGTACAAGGATTTCACACAACAGGTGTCAAAGACTGTGCCTTCCCAGAAGGCATTGCAAATGCTAAAGAGTGCACCTAAATCAACGAAAAGCTCAAAGGGTAGGAAAGTCCTGGTGGGGGAGAGCATGTTTGTTTTAAAGTACTCTCTCATTTATGCATTGTTCACCTGAATTTTCGGTTAATGGTTTTTATGAAAAGGCCTACAACGTCGTGAAGTGATTCAGCAGGAGCCTTGGCCCTATGGGAAAGTCTTCACCATATGGACTGCAGGAGTAAAAGAAGGCTGATCCCATCTTCACAAATGGTAAGGGATGGTCTTTAGATGTCAACCTTGCCTGAATCCTGAAAACAATTTTTAAAAAAGAAAACTGATGGGAATCAGAATTTCAGACTGTTCCATTGGACACCAGTATAAAAGTAGTTGGGAAACCTATACTTCCAGCTGATGGTGTGGATTTGCCCAGCACAATACTCGTGACTCATCTCTGAAGTCATGGTCATCTTGGTTCTTTATGAAGTTGTTCTTGGTTGTAAAGGTACCCATCTCACCAGTGGTATCACTGAAGCAGCCTGGCAGAGTGGAGCACCTCACTCAGGGTGCTTCCTTGCAATTTGGCATTTTTGTAAAAAAAATCAATCAAAATTCTAGCCTGAACATCACAGGAGTAATTTTGTGGTCCCCCACACGCAGAATAGGGCCTTGTTAGAGGAGATTGTAGACTTAAAGCTATGACACTAAATGGCCAATACTCCAACCTTGGCTGCCATCCACTGATGCTGCACATTGGGAGTTGTTCCTTGCAGAATTCCTTTTATTTCCATTTTAAAGTGGAATAATGCTATCCCTCCAGGTATTCCTTTCCCTTCGATTACCCCGATAGTAATTAACCATAGCATTCAGCCAGGCTAGGTCTATACAGTATAGAACACTAATTCTCCCAACTGTACAGTGTACATATTGCGTGTGTGTGCATGTGGGTGTGTATGCATGTATGAATGTACCTATATATAAAATATATGGAATCAGCACTCTCCTTAGCTAGGCATATACATTATATATAATAGCACTCAGTCTGCCTGGGTCTGTACAATAGTATAATTTTGTGAAGCATTTTGTATTTAAAGATAAAGAACTTTAATTTTTACAAAAATGTATTCTGCTTGACTGACATTGATGTGACACCTTGAGCGCGAATGACATCTTTTTTTTGTATGCCTCAGGAGCTTTGCACAATTTTCACCTCATCCAATGTCTAGCTTTGCATACCAGTGAGGTGCACAGGTAACTGTGCTTGCTGACATACAACTATATGCACTCTGTGGCTGAATCGATGCGGGTTTCAGTTTCCATCTCTGCTTTCTGTTCATTTGCCAGCTGGTACAAAGATACCTTCTTTCAAAGGAAAATGTCAAAATAGTGAAAAGAAAACCCCTGAAGGAGTATTAAATCTGGTCTGACAAGTCGAAATTGCCTATTTGCAAGTCTAAACATCATGGTTTTGTTCTATTTCTATTCTTCTTAAAGCTCATTGTTGCACACATCACCAAAAACACTTGATCCAATGTCTTGTTTGAACCAATTCCTCGACCTTCTACATTTAAGTCTTAATCCATTGGAAGGTAATTATCAATGTTACATAATCTCCTAAAAAGCATGACAGTAATAATTCTATCTTTACTCACAGTAAATGTTAACTCATTCTGCTGCTTTGTATTTACCATTCAGATAGACTTCATATGTGAGAATTCCCTCCACCATTACAATCAAATTCCTAATTTTATGCAAGCTTTAAAATCCTTTATGGCACTCGTGATGATTGGTATCCCATTCCTTACATTTGAAAAAAAAGGGTCATTATAACAGTCAAAGGTCATATCTCAGATTCTCTTCGGTAAGACCTTTGATCCAAGGCTAAAGTTGCTTGTAATCGGTCAAATTCATGACGACTGCTATTTGGACTTGGATCATCCAAGACCCTACTGTCATCATCATCACCCTCATCATCCTCATCTCGGCTCATGAAAGCCAACTCATTCTCATAGCAGAAGGAGTTTGTGCTGGGAACGAGGAACTTGCTTTCCATCAGTTCCTTGGCACTGCATCGAGGGGTTGTGGGCACCTCGTAGGTTTTATGGAAATGTGAGTAGTCCACTTTGTACTGGTCCTTCTCCTCAAACAGCACTGGTTCAAATCGCTGGCCCCATAGAATCTCACTAGCCAAATACGAGCTGCGAGCTTGTGTGGTCATTGCTGTAGCTTCCACCATTCCTTCAAGGATGACCACAATTTCAAAATCTGCCATCTCCAGGTCCTGCTTACTAATACCATACAGTGGACTTCCCTCATCAATCTCATGGAGGATAGTTATAGGGGAAACTAAGAATATACGATCATATCCTTTATCAAAACCCACGTCAATGTCTATCTGGTCAAGGGGTATATATTCTCCTTCCTCAGTGATCCGTGGCTTGATCAACTGAGCCCGGACATGGGCTTCCACTATGTGACTCTTCCTCAGATTTCCAACCCGCCACATAAGAGACAGCTTACCATCCCTCATGGCTATTACCGCATTATGGCTAAAAAGTAAGGTCTGGGCCCGTTTCTTCGGCCGTGCCATCTTAGCCATTATGGCACCAATCATGAACGAGTCTATTATGCAACCTACGATGGACTGAAAGACCACCAAGAAAATCGCCAATGGACATTCTTCCGTCACACAGCGGAAACCATACCCGATGGTTGTCTGGGTTTCAATGGAAAACAGGAAGGCAGCGATGAATCCATTCACCTGCAAAACGCAGGGCATGAAGTTGTCATCGCCAGCGGGGTTCTCAAGGTCACCATGTATCAGCGCAATGAGCCAGAAGGCCAGGCCGAAAGCCAACCATGAGATGACAAAGGCTAGCGAAAAGATCAGCAGCATGTAGCGCCAGCGGACATCCACGCACGTGGTGAAAATGTCAGCAATGTACCGCTGAGGCTTGTCGCTCATATTCGCAAACTGCACATTGCACTGGCCATTCTTCTTCACAAAGCGACTGCGGCACTTTCTCCTGGTGTGGATCTTCCCATTGCCGTAGCCGTTGATCCCTGGCATGGTTGACAACCTCAACCCGTCTTCTTCCGAGGACACCACGCTGTAACGGTTGTCACGGACACCAGTCATTCCTGTCCGCACAGCAGGATTCGTTCAAGCTGAGGGGCCTTGTTTGCCAAGTGCCCAAGGCCCCCAGCCCCCCACCCGCCCCCCGGGGGGAAAAATAAACAAACAATGTAGAGTCTCTGACAACTGAAGAGAGAGTCCAGGCAGCTTGGCTCACTCTGTCTTCTCAGCGTAGCGCCCTGAAATGAAAACAATTGTGGTTTAAAATGTGCAATATACAGAAATGCAAATGTTACACTCTAAGAAAGTTTAGTCGAGTTTTGGTTTCCATCACTAGAATTGAGGTCAATGGAATTATCCAATCTAAAAATGCATGAAACAGAAGTAGACCAGTCAGCTCCTCAAAGCCTGCTCCAACCATTTAATCAGATCATGGATTGGTACCTTACGTGAGTTCTCAACTCAATATGTGCCACTGTTGTCAGGCACAAATCCCACTCCCCTACAGGCTTTGGTTAACTGTAAATGGTAGTTCCCTCACAGCCTCTTCAACACGAGCTCACAGTCAGCCATTGGCAACTTTGCTGAAGGGTTGCAAGCAAAACAGTACCAGGGTCTGACTGATATGTACTCAGTCCAAGATAAGTGCAATTCAGCACATGCAAACCCCTTAGGTGTTTTAATTAAATGGTAGTCAACTGGGAAGCCATCAGGTTTAAGGAGTAATTTTTCAATGTGCTGCCAAGAAACATCTCTGCTCAAATCGCAGGACTCCAAAACTGATTTGTTTTATCGTTGTTATATAAAAGTAAACTTGTAATAGGTTTCATTTGCATTGCTTTTTTAAGCTGTGTTAGAATTTAGACAAAATTTCGAAAACAAAGATAGTCAGCAAAGCTCCAATGGGCCTGCTGCTGGGTTATGTGAATATATGAAGGGAATGCGCCATTCAGCTCCCCAAAGCCGTTTAATTCTGTAACATAGTGTTAGAGGGATATACACAATTGAGAAATGAAACAGGGACATATGTCCACACTTTGCTCAATTCCTGGCCACCTCAAGTGAAAGTGGATGTAAAAGTTTTTAGTAAACTCCTCCTAAGCAGTTCTTAGCAGAGGTGGAATTGTCCCATTGTCAAAGACCTGGTAGCAAGATTGTTTCCCTGTTCTTTTAGCAAGGTAGATCCTTCACAAGGTTTTCAAGATTGTGACTTGAAAGATATTTATTGGGTAAGGGCATTAGGGGATATGGATGAGAGACTGAGCTGCTAAGATCTGATTGAATGGTAGAGCAGAATTGAGGGGTTAAATAACCTACTCCTGTTCCTGTGTTTCATCAGGGGAGAAAAAGGTATAAATAAAAATGCATGTGAATACACTTTAACTGTTTATTAAAAGAACTAAATATTGGCATTTGGTTCACCAGTTTGGACCAACAGTGCACCAATGACAAGTCTGTAGCCAAGAACTATGGTAATAATACACTGTGTACATCAGAGTCCCATGGTATTATGTGACAAGCTGTGTAACACAAATGACTTTGTATTTAGCAATTCAAGAGTAGCTAACAATAAATACATTTCTGATTTCTGTTTTACAAGGGGCAGAGAACTCATTCATTTTGGAGGTAATATTATTTTTTTTTCAGTTTACTATCTATCAACTCAATAGCAGCAACAATTTCTTACAATTGCTTTACAGAGAGTTTTATTGCATTGAGATTGTGCTCCCTGCGAGGGTTTCAAGCCATAAACTAATTTTCAAACATTTTGTTTCCTAAATTACAACTTTTAGCTTCCTTGAATTGAATGCGCCCCAAATCATCATGACTTCCTAAACATATTTATATAAAAAAAGTCACTTGCTCTTTGCAAAGTAATGATTTTTGACAGCATATCTATTTTTTTCTCTAAAAAATATCTTATATATTGTCAATGTTCTATTATCTGCGAATTATAGTGCTCACTGCACTGGGGATTGGAACATTTTTCTACATCAGGTCTGCATCAATCACTCCCAGATCAGGTACCATGCATCCAAATTCAGAAATAAAGCTGAAATCTGTTGCAATGATTTGCCTCAGCTGTAACCCTGACACAGCAAAATCCTGAATAAGGATTGTCAAAACATGCCTTGTATTTGACACTTTTGGGCTAGACCTTGACTTTGTCTAGAATAGGCAACAGCATAAACCGTTCGTTGTGGCTCAGTGGGTAGCAATCTTGCCTTTGAGTTGGGAGGATACCAAAATGCAAGCTAACACCCCAGTACAGTATACAGTACTGCACTGTCAAAGTGCCATCTTTCAAACAAAATATTCAGCTCAGGTCCTATCAGCCCTTTTCAATGGATTTACTCAATTTAATGGCACTATTTTGAAGAAGGGTAATTCCTGGTGTTCTGGTCATTACTTATTCCTTAATGAACATCACTGAAAGAACAGATTATCTATCAATATCACATTATTGTTTGTGAAAACTTGCGAAATACAAATCCGCTGCCACATTTCCAATTCTGGCTACACTTCAAAAGTGCATAGAAATTGTGCTACCTTATTAGAAACTTCCCAGAAACTGGACACTTTATTCCGTCAGTCTCAGAATTATATTTAAATCATTTCCAGAGCTTAAAAAAGACTTTTCTAAATATCATGAACCCAGATATCTGCTGGCTGTGATCTGGCTGATTACATTGAGATCATGTCCATAAGTGCCCTCCAGGGCCAATCCTACCAGATTCTGAGTGTGTTCTCAGGAAAGGTCACTGGACCAGAAACATTAACTCTGATTTCTTTCCACTGATGCAGCCAGACCTGCTGAGCTTTTCCAGCAATTTCTATTCTTGTTTCTACCAGGTTTCACAACTGATTTGCAGGAGGCTGACAGGTGTTTTGTTTTAAATTCATTCATGGGATATGGGCATTGTTAACGAGGGCAGCATTTATTGCCCATTCTTAATTTCCCATTGATGGTGGACCTGCATCACTACTGGTATATCTGCATGCCTGAAGGTTGCCAACTCTAGATGGGCATATTCCTGGTGATGTCATCAGATGGTCCCCTGCCTCTAATTAAGCCACCCTTGCAATCCTGCCATTGGTCTCCCGCCATGTCAATCCATGGCATGTGAGTAGTTCATGGCCAGTTGGGAATTGAATAAGCTATGCATTAGCCAACTGGATCTTTCTTAATTGTCAAACAGCCTTTTCTTCACATCACCAATATTTCTATGATAAACAAAGTTTAAAATAAAATCAATTCTCAGATGATTTCTCTTCTCAGTGTTGCTCACAGCAGTGTTGTGGAGATTAAGCTTTAATTCCTGGGAACTTGAGGACAAGCTTCAAGGGTTGACAGCCATTATCTGCTCTATGCTGCCTTAAAGGGGTAGGCTCTGCTGCCCACAACAGCAGCTATGAGCTCCCAGAGTTGGCAGTGAGCCAGCATATCAGGGTCAGTGTTCATTTTCAGAACATTTTCAACAGTACAGTGGGATTCCTGTGGAGAGGTTTATTGAGCAATGTGACGACCTCACTAGGCAACTGACAGCTGCAAGATCTCAAGATGTGGGAATTAATAAATCAGCTGCAGATTCAAGAAGGTCAAGCCATAAAACTTTGAAACCTTTCAATGGAAAAATTGATCAACAAAATTGTCCTCCCAGGTCAGCTGGATTGCATTAGTTATATAAGCAAGTGGGTTTTGTACAGATGCTTTATTTATTTTTATTTGTCCACAGAATGTGGATTTGCTGGCAAGGTCAACATTTGTTACCTATCTCTAATTGCCCTTCTGAAGATGTTGGCAAGTTGTCTTCTTGAACTGGTGTAATCCCTGTGGGTGTAGGTACACCCACAATGTTGTTAGGAAAGGATTTCTGGGTGTTTGACCAGTGATAGTGAAGAAATGGTGATGTAGTTTCAAGTCAAAGTGGCTTGTGGCTTGAGAATTTGCAGCTGATAGCATTCTCATCCATCTGCTTCCCTTGTTCCTCTCGGTGGTAGAGGATTGAATTGCTGAACTTCCTCCCTGAACTTGTTTACCTCTCCACCTCTCTCCCCTTTAAGATCGTCATTAAAATCTCTCTCTCTCTGTCTCTCTCTCTTTGACCAATGATTTAAATCAAAAACCTATTGTATTAATTCCTCAGGTTGCTCAATATCAAATTTTGTTTGAGAATTGCTCCTGTGAAGCGGTTTGAGATATTTTACTGTGACCAAGGTTCTAAATAAATTGGAAGTGTGCAATTAAATAGTTTATGAGAGTACAAATTCCATAAAAAAGATCATTTGAGGTTGGGCTGAGAAATAAATGAGAATGCAAGCTGCAAGATTAATTGCCCACTTAAAGGCCTCAATTGGCAGAGAGGCCGAGGGACCGCTATCTACAGATCTTCCCACCACAAGCTTAACTGCAGGTGGACAGGGAAGACAATGTGATTCTCACTTGCCAATATCACTTTTGATTAAATGCCTCCCCGCTTCGCCATGGAGGTCGGCATTAATTCCCTTCTTCTGTTTTCTTTCCCATTTCCTCAGAGAAGGTACCTCTACCTCAGTGTCCCAGTGTTAACTGTGGCTGACCTTTGAGTCTCAGAATTCCATGTTGAAGTGCCAATCCAGGGCTTGAATCCACACACAAAAAAAAATTCAAAACTGACACAATAGTGCAACATTGCAGAAGTGATACCCTGTCTTTTAGGGACAGTGAATCAATGCTTGCTGATTGGATACATGGATAGACGTGAAAAATCCATGGCACTATTTCAAAGGAAAGCTTGGACGTTATGCCCATGTCTTCGTCAAAAGTTTATTCCTTTAATATCACAAAAAATATTATCTGGTCATTAACACACTGCTGTTGTGTGGAAGTTTGATAAGTGTTTATTGATTGCTGCATTTCCTGTTTGATAATAATCCACACATTTCAGATGTTCTTCATCCATTGTAAAATGCTATTAAACATCCATTGGTCATGAAAAGTGCTGTACAAATGCAAGTCTTTCTTTTCTTCAATTGTGTCAGGACAGGAACTATAATTGGACACCATTAGATATGTGAACACA